TATTATCAAAAAAAATTTTATTTAAATATGTTAAAATTTAAAAAAAGTAGATCATAACTATATTTATGATAATTTTTTAGGCAAATTTGTCTAGAAAAGCCTACAGTTTAAGGGATAATATTGCAGACGATATTTTAGCCTTATCTACTAGTGCTATAGTAGAACAAATTTTACAATATCCAAACCAAAGAAGAAATTTGACTAAGATATTGAAACATCTGGCCATTTCAAAAGAAACTAATTTTTTTATCCCTGAAGAACAACATCATATAACTGCTGTTCGGTATTATATCCGAATTCGAAATAATCTGGTACTGGCAGTATTAGATTTAGGTATAGCAGTAAGCATAATATCAAAATGCTTATTAGATAAATTAGGATTAAGAATAGATGATAAGTCTATAACCATGGTAGTAATAACTACAGAAGCAAAGGCTAAAATACTAGAAAAGATTAAAGATGTAAGATTAATAATTAAAAATGTGGTGATCTCTACTACCTTACATATAATAGAATCATTAGATGATACACTATTATTAGAAACAGATTAGTTCCAAAAGACTAAAGCTCGAATTTATTTTGACAAGCAAAAACTATGCCTACAATATGCTGATAGATCAGCAGAAGTACCAATTTCAAATAGTGATATTGAAGGTCTTAAACCATATGAAGATGAAGATGACTATAGCGAAAGCAGTGATACTTTCGATAAATTTGATTACAAAGAAGAAGAATTTAATGAATTAGAACAAGACAAAAGTGAAAGTTGACTTATAGAAGAAAATTCTGTGCTATATCTTACTAATATAGAAGAGGTGCCTACAAAGAAAGATGAAAAGAACAAGAATAAAAAAAATCTATAAAGGAGTTAATAGAAGAAATGATTAATAATGAAGAATTAACACTTCAACAACAAATTAAAGCAAAAGAATTTTTGCTTACCGAAGAAACACTTTTTGCACTAAGTATTGAAAATATGGGGTATACGAATGTTACGACTCATAGTATTAATATAGGTGATGCCGCTCTGATTAAGCAAGAATACTATCGGGCCACCTATAAAAAAAATGAATTTATAAGAAAATAAATAAATACTGTATATTCCTGAAAATAAGCTACTCCGAAAATAAGCTACCTTCCTTTTTTGGGGGACGTCTAAAGCGGAGGCAACTTATAT